TGTGTTGTGTGGAGGGTCACTTAAATCCCTTATCTTTCATGTGGTGTCTACAACTTTATGCCTGCTCTCCCCAATCCCAGTGACCTCTAGTTTTGTCCCTCCATTAAATAAGCTTTCAGACTTGCAAGCTGTATAACCATTTAAGGTAACTAATACTAACTGTAGTCATGAATTCCCGAATCGTAAGGCCTCACAAAATAAATTTACTTCTTACACTTGCAAATGTCCACGGTCCTCCTTGGCAGACAATCCCATACAGTCATTCATTGACCCCATTTCCTTCCATCCTGTGGCTGCACCAGGTCCCAGAGTTTGCTCTATGTAGCTCCTGTATACAGAAAGAAAGACAAGATTATTCGTATAAGGTTGTGATGGACCAAGACCGAAAGTGGTACATATCATTGTGCCCAAAGTGCATTGTGGACTCAGTCACATGGCCACCCCTAACTACAAAGGAGACTGGGAAACGTCTGCTTTTCTGTGTGCCCGGAAGAAAAATAAAATGAACTTGGGTGAACACACAGCAAGCACTACTCTAAAGACCCTGGCATATTGCTTAACTGCTATGAGTCTCAATTTTTTAGCCTATAAAATGGTAAAATTGGAAGAATACTGTCTGCCTTACAATGTTATTGTGGAGATTACATTTATGAAATGCTTGGTCTAGTGATAGGTACGCAATAAGTCCTCAGAAAATAATTGTTGTTATTGTTGTCATATGTTTTTCTTCTTTCATTAGTTCATTTTATCAAAGATGGAGATCCATGAAAGACTGAATCTTTCATCTTTTGAGAAAGACATTGAAAAAGCAGATGACAGTATAAAGAAGAAAAATAAGGAAGTGAAGGAGGAGAAAGAGGAGACTTGCATGCTAAGTATCACATCCATTTCATTTATATGTCAAATATTTTAGGAACATCTACTATGTACCAAGCATTATATTAGAGGGAAGTAAGAGCCCTACTTTGAGTTTACCACAGTCTGAGTGAGAATCTAAAAGCTAAATATTACCACTTTTTGGAAACTTTGGACCATTTTTCAAAGTAAAGTTGGGAGATAACCCAGAAAATAAAATGATCTAAAATATTTTTGTTTTTATTTTAGTGGTGAAAACTTGGGTTTATCAAAGTTATCAGTCACCTCCATGTTGCTAATTCTCAGTCTTTATCTTACTTGACTTGCCGGCGATCGTGACCTCATTATTGAAACAGTGTCTTCTTGTGGACTCCAGAACAACACATACCCCTGGTTTTGCTTTTACTTAATTGGATGCTCTTGCTTAGTCTCTTGTACTCATTCTTCTTGATCCGTCAGAGCTTGGTCATTGTACCTCTTCTCCACGTACCTCTACCTTATTGATCTCATACAGAGTTATGGCTTTCAATACCATCCATAAATGGAAGCCTCCCCCAAATTATACATCCTTGTCAGGCCTCTCCAGAACTCCAGATTCATATATCCAATTGACGACTCAACTTCTGTACTTGTGTGCCTATTAGCCGAACTTCTGATCTTCCTCCCATTCTCAAACCTGCTCCTCCCACAACATTTCCCAGCTCATTATTTGGCAACATCCTTCCACTGCCTAGACCATCCTTAGTCATCCTTCACTCTTCTCCTTTACACTTCATTCAACCCTTCAGTAAGTCCTGTTGGCTCCACTTTCAAAATACATCCAGAACCCAAATATTTCTTACTGTATCCACTACCAGTGTCCTAATCCAAACCACCATCATCTCCTACCTGGATTATTTCATTAGGCTCCGAATTTGTCTTTCTGCTTTTTACCAGATCATTCATCACCATGTGTCATAATTATTGCCTATCTTTGTCACTAGGATATAAGCTGCAAGAAGATAAGGGGATTTTTGTCCATTGTCTGGCACTTAGTAGGTACTCAATATTTTTGAGTCAATGAAGAAAGGAATGTGGACACTATTTTTAATATACCTGCTGCAATTTAGAACAGCCCCTTCCATCCTGAAATAAATGGGTAGATTTAACATGATGTGAGCACTTCTTCAGCCTCCATTTCTTTTAGAGTATGATCATATTTGCTGGAACAAGAGCTAGGGCTGGCCCCTGGGGCACTGGTTGCATTCTCTGGGCCCAGAGAAATGGTAGGGCCTAGTGGTTTTAGAAAAGCACAAGTCAGTACAATGCCTCTTCCTCCTCTATGACTTCTCCATAGGCAAAGTCCGCAGCCATGTTCTCTGGGAATCCCCGGCACTTTATTCATTGAACTTAGAAGACGCTGTTTTCTTGCAGTGGACAATTGTTATTACTCCACCTTATATTCCCAGCACCTAGCTAGAGTGATTAATTCATCCTGGTTTTCCCGGGACTGTCCCAGTTTTAAAACTGAGAGGCTTGCATTCGAAGAACCCTCTCAGCCGTGGATAAATCAAGATGGTTAGTCACCTTACCTTTAGCACAGCACCTGTCACCTAGTGAGGAATAATAAATAAATGTTAGATAGAGGAGATCATGTTACTATTATTTGTTCATGCGTCGCTTCTCCCTCCAGTGCCTGGCATATGGCATAATATTTCCTAAAATGTGTTTCAGAGAACCCTGGTTCCATGTGATATTAACAAAGTTCATTGCTATGGTAGATTCTACTGGGTGCACCACCCACATCTCCTTTCTTGAGATGGTGTAGCTATCCCCTGGACGATCTGTTAGCTACCAACAACTCATAGCTATGCCCTTAAAAAAAAAAAAGATTGCCCTTAGCCTATGTAGCCTATGGGAAGTTTCTTGCCTAGGGATTTCAGACAGGTTTTTCCCTCCTTCCTAAAGGGTCACTTTAAGGTGACAACTGTCAAACACTGACAAACAAAGCTCATCCCACTTCAAGATGACATAAGTCTGTAGCATCATTCATGCTCTGTAGCTCCCCATGGGATGTAATTGAGGCTAGACTTCAGCTGAACCCCTATCTTTGCAAAGCTTTTTCTCTCACTTCCTTACAGATTTCTCCTGAAAGCTCCCTTAACAAACCACTTGCAAAATAATCCCCATCTTAGATTCTGCTTCTAATAAACCAAATATAAAACAGTTATTACTTAGGGTTATCCCAGAAAACTACCTCTAAGGATTCTGGAGTTGGATAACCTACCTCATTGCAGCCAGCAGCGAGGACCTCCCCTCTACTGGTCATTACAGATTGATGGTCCTTGGCATGCTGTAGCACAGTAAATGCTTTCCCCTGAACTTGGATAGAGTACAATTTTAAGGAGATGCACTAGATAGTGTAATATATCTTTACAAGGGAAAGAATGAGGGAAAAATAGTCATTATAAAGATAATGAAATTGGGGGCTTAGTTGGTTAAGGGTCTGACTCTTGATTTTGACTCAGGTCATGATCTCACAATTTGTGGGATGGAGACCTAAGTCAGGCTCTGTACGGACAGTATGGAGCCTCCTTGGGATTCTCTCTTTCCCTCTCTCTCCCCTCCCCTGCACATACTTTCTTTCTCTCTCTCTCTCTCTCTCTCTCTCTCTCTCTCTCTCTCAAAATAAATAAATACATTTGAAAAAAAACAGATAGTGAAACTGGGTAGTTGTTGTTGAGTGCCTTCAATACGCTAAAGAATGAGAACATCATAGGTTCAGATTGATAAATTCACACTCATAAATTCAGAGTGTGAAATTCAACGGGCTTCTTGATAGTGTTTAAAGACACTTTCTTATCCTATAGCCAGAGGGCCAGTTGAACCAAAGCCAGACTCATACCCAATTGTAAGAGTAGTAGAACTTTGGAGAAGGTTGGATTCTAATTCTAACAACGTTTTCTAATACCAAAGTTAGGCTCTGATGAAGTGGGACCCAGATGCTTGAGATGAGAATATCTGGGTAGGTGTACCTAAGAATCTTGAACTACCAGTTTTCCTTGAATACTCTGGGTCTGCAGAACTGAGCCACTCCTCCTTATTAGAAGACAGAGCCTCCAACCCCCACCCAGTCTTACTTGAAGATTGCACAAAAGCCTCAAAGGAGACAGCTATATTAAAAGACAAAGCCTTCCCTTCTCAGGATCTGACTCTGGTCCCCTTCCTGGCCACCAGTCCCATAATCAGGCTCAAATTTCAGCCCAACCTGACTGAGGAAGTTGTTGGCCAGATACACCAACTGACTCTACACCAACTGAAAAACAGATGTAGGTAAATGTACCAGTCAGGAATTGGGAGAGAGTGTCAGAGATGGATCATGAAGGTATTAGATTTGGTAGAACAATAAATAACATTGGATAAGGGAGAGTTTTGTGGTATTAGAGTACTCTCTGTAACACAGATCCCCAACAAATGTTGGAATACACTGTTTGTTGTTAAAACACTGACCTGGGCACCAGTCTGATATGGACTGCCAAAATGGATATTGGAAACTTGGAAGAAATAACTGTCAATAGCAAATAAAGATACCAGATCTACTGGACAGATTGTGGAGGAAGAGACCAAAAAGCCCATGAAAGTGGGCATTTAAGAAAGGGTCTACTGAAGAGAATTTATTAGCGGTCCATGTTCCTTAGCGGGGGCCCAGAGAACATTCCATTTACCAAGGTGATTAGGAAAAGGTTGGTCAACAGGGCACCAGCATCATTCAGAATCTCAGCAATGACTGTCCTCTATAGGCTGAGTTAATGGTATGAGTTTCCTAGCAGCAATTGGAGTGGAAGAGGTCAGGAGACAGTGGTTAACTTCAGAAACCAGGTAAACAGAACTAGAAGAATGATCAGCAAGGTTGGAATGGTAACCAGGGAGGCCTGACATTCAAGGATACATAGAAATAGCTAACATAACAGTGTTTCTAAGGGCAATATAGACAGAGAGCAACAAGAAATTAATTACTGTGAGACTGCTCAACTCTTAAAATAGGTTCAGGCGTGTTTGTGATCCTCTAAGACAGGTGTCTCAAATGTATTTGATCAGGGAGTACTTTTTTTTTTTTAAGAACACTTCATGGGATTGGTATGTTGCAGAATAACAATGCTACATAGTTCATTGTTCAAAATATTTATGAAGTGAATGCATATAGAAATGTATACATGGTTCCTTAGTACAACTTCATATAGACATTGGATATAATCTAGATCCAAAGCACAATTCCAATACCTACATCTTAGGAGGGAAAAAAAAATGAAGAAAATATTGATCTAGTAATGAAAGAATCAAGTTGCTAACAGACTGGTTAAACCACAAACCCAAACCGCTCAGAAGCAGTCTGCATTTGATATTTCAGCAACTCATTTACTCTTCCCCACCCCAACAAAGCTTAGAAAGGCAGGACATCAAGAAAAACGACTGTAGGGAAATTAATGGAACAATGTATAGTGAAGGGAAGAAAGTCAATAATGAAATTGGTCCAATTTAAACAGCCAGGCCAAGACCACAAGGTAAAAAACTTAAGTTACATTCAACACTGAAAATGAGTCCCTATGATTTATTTAGCATTCCAGAAGATAAAGAGCAATAAACAAATGCATCAAACGTATTAAGTTATTTTTAGAGTTACGTGCTTCAGTGATTCAAAGCTGGGCGCAATGAAATCCAGCAGTGCACTGTAAGCTTTGTTCCCTCTGTCTGACTGGCTATATGATTCCACCACTGGATCAACAGAAAGACTCCAACCACCATAGGATTTCTTTCTTTCTTTTTTTTTTTTTTTTTTTTTTTTAAGTAGGCTCCATGCCCAATGTGAGGCTTGAACTCACGACCCTGAGATTTAGAGTCACATGCTCTACAGGCTGAGACAGCTAGGTGCCCCTCCGACCATCATAAAAGGTAATTTCCCTTCAGGTGGTAGGTAAATTATAAGAGGGAATAAATCCAACACTAGCATTAGTTCCAAAAGAAAGACATCCATTTTTCAATAGCATATGTTTTCTGCCTCAGGCTTATGCTGTTCAAACCCTTCAGGAACAATCTCTACTCTGTTCCTTTGGAAGATGTCTCTTTCACTGTGCTCCAAATCTTGCTCATAGGACATCTTGACTCAACACTTGAAAGTGCCAGTTGCTTCCTCTTCAGTCCCACTGTTACCCACATGCAGATTTCATCTCATGTTCAGACTCTGCAATAGGCTTAGTCACCCAACTTAACTCACTTGTTATTGAACATTCAGAAGGCATACCTCTCCCTACATTTCCCATTTAAAAAGCACCAGCAACATAGTGTGCCTATGACTATAGATAGCCCCAAGTCCTTGGCGTCCTGGATGGGATACTGGAACAGGAAGAAGACATTCGGTAAAAACTAAGGGAATCTTAACAAAGCACAAGCTTTAGTTAATAATAATAAAGTCATCTGAAGAATTTAAAATAAAAATAGCTCTTTGTCTTTTCATGATTGTTGTCCTCATTTGTGGGTGGACAGCTGTGTCCCTTGTTGAGAGTTGGCTGCCATATTGGTGGACACCAATGCAGCTGTTTGCACCTTTTAATCATGGGCCCTTTAGTCAAATTATCAGGAACCCAAACATGTTATACATCCTGTTGAAGCTAGAAGCATGGTTTCAAAGGTCCCTTCCAGTTCTAACATTCTGTTTTTTGTTGGAATATGAGATTATTCTTTTCCATAAGACCCACAAAGTCACAGACTGCAGAATTATAAGTAGAAGTGTCCCCCCAAATGAAAGAAAGGATTTCAGGTGAGTTTAAAGGTGAGCACTAAAACGGGATAAAGCTCTCAAGACAAGGTAATTTTTTTAGTTCTCAGAATGGGTATTCCATTGGATTCAACTGAAGACTCAACTCTATTGATTCCAGAATTTTTTACTGGGCATCCACCATAAGCCAAACCCTATCCTCAGTCCTGTAGATATATGGGCAGCATTTAAAGGCTTAAAGCAAGGGACTTACAAGATCTTATTTGCATTTTAGAAGGAAGACAGCAGGGAGTAGATTTGAGTGGGGAAAGAGAGAAGGCAAGGAGACTGATGGAAAGGTCTAGGAGGTTATTGGAAAAGTCCAGGCAAAATTCTGTGGTACTCTGGACTGGGGTGTGGAGGTTGAAATGGACAGTTCTGAGAGATACTCAGGAGGAAGAAAACCCCAAACTTGGTGACTGATTAAAAGATGCATGTTCAATGGGTTTACTTTTGTCTGTGTGTGCACGGGCATCCATGATGGGCAGGGCCGGGGGTCGGACTGGAATTCGAACCACGAGATTGCCTCTTAGAAACAAGTTCTAGCCCTAGGACCAGCTGAGGATCAGAGTTTTTCTTAAATCCTCCTCATAAATCAGCATAGGAGAAAAACAAGAGTCCAGACAAGAAGATGCATGTCTAAGGTAAAAGGAAAAACATGTTTGGTCCTAATAGGTTTGTGGTGGGGGGAGGAAAGGGGAGGAATGTTCTGGAGCAGTCTGCCCTGAGGTGAAGACTGGTTTGGGAGGCTGCCAGCATCTGTAAGCAAGATGTTAATGGGGTTATCAGCTGTTGCTGAAACAAAGGCAGGGTGTATCCTGGCAGCCAAGGAGCCTGAACCAGCCAAAATGTGTGTGTCTGTGCGCGTGTGTGTGTACGTGTCCCAGAAGAAACATCAGGCTCACTGTCTACAGATGTCGCAGAGAACAAATGGTCTCGGCAATTCGACCTGTGAACACCGATCACACAAGACAGACACCTTTAACGGAGGGTTGGCATTTCTCAGTGGGGCCACTCACATCGACAGCTTCATTTTTCTTTTGCCTCTGGAAGAAAGGGGGTCTCTTTTATCCCAAAGAGAAGCTCCCTATGCAAATGAAGTCACCTCACTCCAACTAAACACACATAGTCACACACGATGCCAGAGGTCTCTGCACCAAAGACCCGTCCATTTGTTCTTTCCTTGTCAATTCACATGTACACACCAGGGCTTATATTTAATCACATTCCCCTTGAATGAACCATTCCCATACATGGTACTCCTAGAATATCATCTGTAAAGTGTCTAGAGCCAGATATCGAATGATGGAGGCCAACGGCATCTCTCAAGAGGTGCTTTGGCCTTTTACCCTGTTTGACACCATTATCAGGGGGTCCAAGAACCAATTTAATGTTCTGGGTCACCTAGAAAATATCTGACTTATTTCAGAGGTCTTGGGCGAAAAGATAGTAAAAGCATTAACTTTGCAACAGGGAAGACTTGAGCCGAGTCCTGGCTTTTCCATTGACCTTGAGCCCATGACTTGATACCTCTGCTTCAGGTCCCTCAACAGCAACATGGGAATAATAATAACCATGAGTAGGCACTACTAGTATCCCCATTTCACAGGTGAGGGAAGCTGAGACACAGCGAGACTTAGCGACAACTAATAAATAGCACAGCTTGAATTTGAACCCAGGCAATCGGGCCCCTCGCTTGCATCGCCTGCCAGACTTAGACAAAATTTCTTCTTTAACCTTCAGAACAACTCTGCTAATGGGAACTTGGGCAAGTAAGCTAACTCCCTAAGCCTCTGTCACCTCGAGAGAAAATAGGGTTTTGTGATTTCAGACCTCGTAAAGAGCTTATAGGGAATATCTGAGCAATGCCAGTAATGGGATTAGCAGAGTGCCTGAGCAGTTGTGAGCATGGTAATGGAGGCAGTAGTCATTGCATCGCTCACCCTAACCATGCTGTTAGCATCATAACACCCATAGTACTTGGAATTATTTGTTTCAATGTTTATGATTTCCTGGAACAACAAGTTCCACGAGGGCAGAAATGGTTTCTTTCTTATTTGCTTCTGTACTCACAACGTTTGGCAACCTGACACAGGCCGGATTGTACTGCCCTTTTGATGTTATTCACCGATGAACCAACAGATGACTTCAGTGCTGCGTCCTCAGTCTCTCTTGAAGGGTCGTAGGATTAAATGAGATAATGTATATCGAATGGCTCGTACCATGTTTGGCTTGAGTATTCCACCCAATTAATGTTAGATCTCTCCTCTTTGCAACCAGAACACATGATCTGAGACTTACTCTGGAATTACGTGGTGCAGAGAGTAACAAACAGAATGCCCGGGCTCCTGTGAAGAACGCTAACGTGTGCCACTCAACTTGGGCACGAGAGCCAAGACGGCACACGAGCTGGGACCGAGCTGGGACCCACCTCAGTGGGTGACACCACCATGCATCACAGCAACTGCGCTGTGGGCACATTTGGAAGTCTCAGGAACAGAAATAGGAAGGCACCTGATGTACTGATTGATAAAAGCTACTAATGAGGTCCGTGCATGGTACAAACACAGGCAGCTCTTGCTTAGTGGGCACCAGGGAAGGGTTTGGCAGAGATGAGCGAGACCACAGCCAATCCATCCGTGAGCCAGTGTGCTGCATCCATAAAAGGATGATTCAACTGAGTACACTTGGAAACAGAAATTGCCGATGATGTTCAAAAACTAAATAGAAATAGTAGTTAAGAAACTAAACGGAAATATAATGGACAGTTGGGCAAAAAAAAAAAAAAAAAAAGTCTCCTCTTGCTCAAAACTGCTCAGAAAATAGCTAAAGTCAAGGCAACAGGCAGTGCGAAAAACAGGGACTTACGCGTCAGACTTCCCTTCCAGTCTTGTCTCTGCCAACTGGGGCCTGAGGCAAGTCAACTCGCACCTCTGAGTTTCCGTTTCCTCATCTGCAAAATAGAGAACATCGACTTCATAGAGGTCGGAGAGGCTTCAATAAATCTTCTGAACAAGGGGACTGGCAAATAGTAGACCCACAAGCATCACCACCGCGAGGCAGCCATGCTGATTAGATGATCTGTACCACCCGGAATCAGGGCATGGCTATCTTCCCTCTTAAGTGGTTTCTAGTGGCTGTATCTCTGTGTGTTGGGCTGTGAGTCGCTATCTATTAATATGACTTACCCAGGGCTTATCAAAGGACAAGTGGCAAATAAGGACTCCGAGATGATGGAAGGGACCCACATCATCCTCAAATAAGATAAGATATCAATGACAGAGGGGCGCCTGGGTGACTCAGGTGGTGAAGCATCTGACTTCATCTCAGGTCGTGATGTCACAGTTCGTGAGTTCAAGCCCCACATAGAGCTCTGTGCTGACAGCTCAGAACCTGGAGCCTGCTTTGAATTCTGTCTCCCTCTCTTTCTGCCCTTCCCCTGCTGGCATTCTGTTTCTCTCTCTCTCAAAAATAAATAAACATTAAAAATTAAAAAAAAAAAAGGAAAGAAATGGCAGGGCCCTGGCTAGGTTGGGGAGTAGGGGTGGGGACATGGGGTTGGCATGGCCAGAGGAAGCTGGGAGAAGGCCATGAGAGAAAAGGGAAAAGACGAAGAGCTCCGAACAGCTCTGGGAGAGAGCTGAAGGCTGGCACTGGCCCAAAGGAGGGGGAGGGAGCCGAGCGATGGTGCCTGACTCGGTTAAGTGCTTCCCTACTGGGGGGCTGCCTGCCCACACTGAACTGTGGATGGCCAAGCAGAGGCAGAAGCAGCAGCCAGTGGGAGGCAGGCTAATTCATGACTGACAGCCCTGGGATGTCTCAGGAAGCGGAAAAGCAAATCGAGCAGGAGGTGAGAAATAGACCTAGGTTGGAGACAGGGCTGGTTGAACACCCACATAACAGGGGCCTGAGACCCTGGGGCCTTGCCTCACTCACTCAGATACTCTGAGCAGGAGACCAAGAGTGGGTCTCTGGTGAGACTGAACCAACCAGTCTCCAGACTCCCCTTTCTCTAACCCTTGAAATAATTTCCAAGGTCCCTTAAAAATTATATGTACAACTTGTGACATATTAGCATAGTCAGTGACTTGCAGGTATCATAATCCAATAATAATTTGCCAGTGGTCTTTTAAGCAATTGTTTCTGTGGCTCGGTTTTTGTCTACTGATTAGCCTGATCTTTTCCATGGTTTCTCACTCTCCATAAAGAGTATCGATTCTGATGCAGGTTGGGAGTGGGGGTAGAAGAAACTTTAGTTCTTTTTCCTTCTTTTTGAACTTTATGGGACACCTGGGTGGTTCATTCGACTGGTTAAGCGCTGGACTTCCGCTCAGGTCATGATCACCCAGTTTGTGAGTTCAAGCCCAATGCGGGGCTCTGTGCTGACAGCTTGGAGCCTGGAGCCTGCTTCAGATTCTGTGTCTCCCCCTCTCTCTGTCCCTCCCCTGCTCACGCTCTGTCTCTGTCTCTGTCTCTCTCTCTCTCTCTCTCTCTCAAAAATAAACATTAAAAAAACCTTCTATTTAACATTTATTTATTTAAATTCAAGTTAGTTAACATACAGTGTAGTAGTAGTTTCAGGAGTAGAACCCAGTGATTCATCACTTAACATATAATACCCAGTGCTCAAGCCAACAAGTGCCCTCCTTCCTGTCCTTCACCATTTAGCCCATCCTCCCCCCTACCCCCCCCCCCCACCCTCCAGCAGCCCTCAGTTTGTTCTCTGTACTTAAGAGCCTCTTATGGTTTGCCTCCCTCTTTGTTTTCTCCTTCCCTCCCCCTACTTAACTTTTTAAATGTATTGCAGGTAAGACTAAAAATCTTACAATAAATTTCTACTATATAAGATGTTGATGGATCTGGCATATGGCATGTGCAAGAGTGGATTTTTCTCCCTTATTTAAAACCAAAAATTACTTTTTAAACCAAACTTTATTGGGGGAAAAAAGGTAATTATACTTAACTTACATTTCATAAAATTAATCTTTCTTTTATTTTTTTTAATGCTTATTTATTTTTGAGAGACAGAGTGTGAGCAGGGGAGGGGTATAGAGAGGGAGACACAGAATCTGAAACAGGCTCCAGGTTCTGAGCTGTCAGCACAGAGCCCGACGCAGGGCTCGAACTCACGGACCGCGAGATCATGACCTGAGCCGGTCGGCCGCTTAACCGACTGAGCCACCCAGGCTCTTTCTTTTCTTTTTATAAATTTTTAAAACTGGTAAGGAGAACACAATATATTTTTGTTAAATAATCGGCTTAAGGCAAAATGGAATTTAGTTTTTCTATCGGTAGCTTGACATATTTCACCTACAGTTTTTTTAATGTTTATTTATTTTTGAGAGACAGAACATGAGCAGGGGAGGGGAAGAGAGAGAGGAAGACACAGAATCTGAAGCAGGCTCCAGGCTCTGAGCTGTCAGAACAGAGCCCGACGTGGAGCTCGAACTCACAAACTGGGAGATCATGACCTGAGCTGAAGTCGGATGCTTAACCCACCAAGCCACTCAGGCGCCCCTACGTATTTAATCTAAATAAGGGTTGTAAATTAGTCGGATAAGTACCATTTAAAACATGAAAATATGTTGATACTGTTGAGTAGGAAAGGTACGGAAATTATGAACCAAAGTAATATGAATAAAAATATAGCCTAAGACGAAGTATACAAGAATTTGAAAACACATTTTTTTTTTTTTACCAACACAAAACAGACTTAACTATAGACCTAGCTGTTCCAAAATAATTATACACATGTTTGTTTCTTGATTTCTTTCAGGCCTCTGTGTGCATAATAGATTTTATGTTGGAAATTAAAAATAAAATTCACCTTTGAAATGTGATCTGTGTGTTATTGTTCTTCGTGCAAAAATACTCCGTTCTTGGTCAAACTTGTGATAAGCACACAGATTTTATTCCCAGCCGAGGTGAGACCATTTCTGTCCCTGCTTTTGATGAATGTTAAACGAGGAAAAACTCGGTCACACTTGTAGGCAGCTGAACATTGCAGCAAAGGGGCCCTTGCTTCCCCACGCGAGGCCAGACACTTCTCGTCCCAGAAGCCAGAACTCGGGAGGGGCAGATCAGGAAACCTCATCTTGAGTGTACGGTCTGCCTCTCACAGAGTTCTTCCCCTTTTCTCAAAGCCAAGTGCTTGGGCTGAGCAGAAGATCAGAAAAAAAGGGTCTCTCGCCCTCTCGTACACATGCGTTGAAAGAGAGGAAATACTGTTCAGTGTGGTCCCGCAGGTCTTGAGGTGGTTTATGCTAAGATTTGAGGGGTGCTGGTATCTTTCCTCTCGCACAAGCCCAAGCAGCACTGGAAATGTGTCCAGATTTCCTTTTGCAAAGGATTCTTCCTAAGAATCTTGCCACTTGAAGTCAAAACAGCCCTTCTCAGGCCTTCCTGAGACTTCTTCCCATGGCCCACGTAATGACAACTATCTTCTAGGTAGTCTCATTTCTGACCATTCGTCACCTCCAAAGTTCCCAACGAATCCGACCGACCGCTTTCTTGAGAGTCCCCCTGACTCTCCCTTTTCAGCTCAAACACGTGTTGTGAACTCTCTCTCTGCTAAGCCACCAAATTTCTGTGTGTTGAAACCTGCCACGAAGACAACCATGATGGGCCACCATCGGTACAGCCACTGACACCATCCCTCCGAGACAGACTTTCTGTTTCTAGATACAAAGACAAAATATGAAATATAGATGGGTTTTGCTTGTTTCAGGTAATTTTTTCTGGTAGCAAAAAAAAATTTCCTTGAATTTCATCATCATTTACAAATCTTGCAAATGCTGCATCATGACATTTACGGGTGAAATCTGTTGACTCATGAGCTTGGATAGAGAAGCTATTGTTTTTCAGTTTATTACACTAACCTCTTCATCATCACATGACAGGCTATAGGTGCACTGACTAATTAAATGGGTTTAAAGTAGAGCCTTTTCCTTTTCTCCTCCTACACCTTACCTTACCATTTTGCTCGTTTGAATCTGACTAGCATTATTAGGTGTTCACCAATTGTGTGACTTTTTCTGGGGGAGAAGGAGGCAGTAAGTTCTGCTACTAAGTAACTTGCTCGCTGAACCTGAATGTGACTTTTTGGCTAAAGGCTTACCCCATTTGTTTTGAGATTGCAATAGCCATTTAAAGTTATCGGCACCTTTCCTTGCCAAAGGGCTGTAATTTACAGTTAAAAGTCATATTTTCCCCAAGCTAGCATTGCCTTTGTGAGTTGTTTGCCACAGACCCCCGCACAGTGGGATAGGACAGCTAGACCACCAGTCATGTAAATCCACTGATGAGTAGCTTTCATGATAAAGAGAGGCTTCTATTGTGTGCCTCTGGTTGGAATAGTGCAGTGAACTCGCTCAGAAAGTTGTCATTCTTCGTTGCTGACCTTATCAGAATCACCCACACCTGTAGGACTAGAAAAGTTCCCATGGAAAAACAAGCATGGAAGAAGAGCCAGGAAACACTAGAAAAGGAAAACGTCAGGGGGAACTAGCCCTACCAAATGTTGAAACACACTTTAAAGCCAGGATAATGAAAACAACACAGGACCGACACATGAATCAACAAATGGAATACAGTTGGAAACCCAGAAATAGACCCAAGTACATTTGGCAATCTAGTGTGTGATAAAGGTGGCCTCTCAAATCATGAGTGCAAAAATGGTTGGTGTTACAGAAGCAAGAAGATCAAAAGAAACCCTCCACAGAGCTGGGCCAAGAGGGTGGGCTGGCTGGTGCTGTCCTTCCCTTACCAGCTGGAAAGGGAGACAATGTGCTTTGCAAAGTCCCAGGGCCAGCATCGCACAGCAGAGTATCCAAAGGTGGGTTGGGAGCTGAGTTTCATGGCTGCCAAACATCTAAACACTGATTATTTATTTAGTTAGCATGCATTATCCTGTAACTGTATTGAGAGGAAGGAGTAAGGGCAAATGAAAGCATATGA